TGATTAATTATTAACAAAGTTAAAAAGCACGAAAGTTCTTTGTATGGTTAATCAAATTTTATTAGCAACCTCAAGCAAATAAACTGCTTTAATGAAGGCAGTGGGAACATACTATAAAAGAACATTAGAAAGTAAATACTTTAACATAGTACAAAAGTTTCTTTTAGTTTAGTTGTTATTTCAAACTAAAGCAATAAATTAGTTAGGCACAGTATACAGAGGTTCTTAACTAACTGATTCATTTTTTTGTTACTAAATATTAAATGAGCTGTGTTTTAAACCCATTAAAAGATGACACATGACTTGTGGCAGGTCGGTAAGAAAACACTCTAAATATTTTTAAACTGGTCAAAGTCATCAAAAATGGGCATTAGTAAAGGTTCCTCTTTTTCTTCAGAGTCATACTGACAACAAAAATTATTATAGGTAGACGAAGTTTCAATACATGTGTGTAATATACACAGTGATCTGTCAGCACCGATACCATTGTACAAAACTGATTATGTTTTAGTTAAAGTGAAACATGACAATTACTTATGTCTGCTTTGGATCAAGTATATTTTGAGGTCTGAAAAAAATTTTAATCTGTCTAGGTTGTTTTTAGTTATACTCAGATATTATTCTTAATTGTCAGCTTAATCGTAGCAAATGAGATATTAATATTCAAGTAAACAATGAAAGAAAGCAGCGTGCCTTTCCAGGCAAGCTCGTCTGCTTGTTATCAGATATATTGCAATGACACGCTAAACTAACTAAATACTGTTATACATATCTCCATAAAATTAGACCTACTAAATCGATTAGAAAATTATGTATACAACGATTATTGATATCTTGTTATACACAATCGAACGCTCACAACTTGAGATATGCTTTTCAGAAAGAAAAAAATTTTTAAAGCCCTATATCTCAAAAACCTACACATTAATTTTTTTTTAAATATGATTTTTGAGTTTAGTATGTTAAAATACATAGCTATATATAACATAGTGACATTAAATGTACATTCTTACTATAAACTAATGTAGTTCGTTAGAAGAAGCCCCGCATTTTCGAACCATTAAGAATGTTAACGGTCCGATTAGATAAATATATCTCTACGAAAATTTATATTCAGGTTTTGCTAAATTTTGGATTTGTGAAGTTATTTATAATTTTTCAAAATTAATTATTTTTTTTTTTTAATTTTCAGACAATGCCAAAACTTGCACTTTACTATGCCACATTAAGTCCACCATCCCGAGCTGTGATGTTAACAGCAAAGGCCTTGGAGTTGGATTTAGAGCTACGGTAAAAACTCATTTACAAACACAATTTAGTGTAGATATAATATGGAATTAAATTTAAGAAAGTACGTAAATGGCTCAAAGGACAAATTTAAAAAAAATTTGGGAAATATCTATGAAATGATTTAGATTATTTAAAAGTATGAGATTTTAGATTATAATACCTAAACTTTCAAAGTCATTTTTTAATTTAATATTAAGCAATTAAATTATAAAAATAAATTTTATAAACGTTGACATTTCGTATCACAGAACTTAGTACCCAAAACGTATCGGTACTCCGATCTCACATGTACCTTCTATATAGTTTACATATTTTTATTTTGAATATCACTAAAATTTTATATTAGTTTTAAATTAATTTCATTCATAAAATTTATTTTTAATATATAGGTACATATAAGTACTTTATTTTAATATATTTTCAAAAATAATGGGTACGCATTTTTTACAACGTTTAAATTTATTAATTTATAATTCTTTTTCTTCCAGTCCAATCAATTTAATCAAAGGTGAACACCTCACTCCAGAATTTTTAAAAATTAATCCACAACATACCATACCAACTCTTATCGACGATGAAGCTGTTATTATTGATTCACATGCAATTTGCTCTTATTTGGTGGAAAAATATGGCAAAGATGATAAACTTTATCCCAAGGATTTAGTAAAACGTGCACAAGTCGATGCACGTTTGCATTTGGACTCTGGACATTTATTTGCTCGTCTACGTATGTTATATGAACCTATACTCTACTATGGTTCCACCGATTGCTCAATAGATAAAATCGCTTATATACAAAAATGTTACGATATTTTAGAGAATTTTTTAAAAGAACATACTTATCTTTGCGGTGAAGAGCTCACGATAGCTGACTTCTGTTGTGTCGCTACTGTAACATCTGTTGATGATGTAGCTCCAATTGATGAATATAAATTTCCAAAAGTTTTAGCTTGGATGAAGCGTTTAGCTGAGTTGCCCTACTATGATGAAATAAATCGTACAGGTGCAGAGGAATTAAAACAAATATTTCGGGAAAAATTAACAGAGAATCGCAAACAACCAAAATCTTAAAGAAAAACTAAGAGGAAAGAGGTCTTAGAAGATATCAGCAGTTGAAAGGTTTCTCACTTAACTACTCCACCGTATAAGATCTAAATATATGAGTTTATACATATATATAAAATAGTAGTTTAGATACATATCAGAAAATAGTATTAATAATGTATTTATCAGCTTGGGTTATATTTCCAGAAAAACATATACGCACAAATATATTATATATTATTATCAGGATATGTATATTTTAGATATTCTTATGTTTCTTTATTATTAAAAACACACAATAAAGTCATTTTATTAAAAGAAATCATTAATATAATTATTTTTTTAATGGAATATATAGTGTTTAAACTTAAAAATGTTGACTCATGGGTCTGAATTTAAATCTAAAAGAATTTAAAAAATACGAAAACACAACGAAACGTTATTGTTTTTAGTCACTTATCAAAACATTTGTTTAGTATGTTAAACAAAAAAAACTTAAAAACAAATATTTAAACTTTTTTCTTTTTTAAAACAACTTTTTATCTTTTCTTGAGTTTGTTCTAAAATTTTATCAAAACTTAATGTTTGACGTAAAAGAGGCTTCAAAGCGCCTCTTTAGCTCAGTGGCAGAGCACTGGTCTTGTAAACCAGGGGTCGTGAGTTCAATCCTCACAGGAGGCATAATGGAATTGATACAATTTTTTTAATATCTAAGGTTGGTATAACTATATATCTGTGTATATATATCATTCTAGCTCAAGCTTTATATCTTCGACTTTAAAGATTTATTAATAATATTATTGGTTAAATTGAGGTTTGAACTTGTAAACTAATTAATATTCAGAAAGAGGATTTTGGAAATCTTTAACTGCAATTTTTTTCAGTTAGAAATTTATAGTATAATTAATAATTTGTTAAAAACAATTAATTTTTTATTGTTTAAACCATGCTTTTATAAAATTGTTCGAAAACAAAATATCGTTTATATTTTATGAAATTGAAAGTTATATTCTTATAGTAAGAAATATGGTATATTTGGAATTATGATTTTCGATTAAGTTAAAATATCATATATTTTGTCATTAATATAATTCAATGCAAAAACCAGATTCAGGTGATGATCTATAAAATTTGTAAGGACAGAAATATTTAATCAAAAGGTGCTAGATTTGGAGAATATGGTGGATGTGGCAGTATAACTCATTCAAGCCATAAAAGATTTAGGTGAGTTTCCAAATTTCTGTGGTGGAAACTTGGCATTATCTTGGTGGAACACTACACCTTTTCTATTGATAAATTCTGATTACACTGTTTAAATGAAGTATTTATTCTAATATCTATTTCTATAAGTATCTATTTGATAAAAGTTCACTTCAGAATTGATCCTTGTGTTAATCAGTATAATCTCAAAAAAAAGTTTCATGGAAAACACATTACGAAGATATTATGAAAGCATATTGACCTTTAAAGTGGTTTAAATAGTTCACCTTTTTTACTTTATATAATTATTGGGAATCCATTTAGTGCATCATCACAATAGCAAGAATTGATTTCCGTAGAAATGTAGAACCCATATCTTTAATTTTGAGATGAAATGTAGAGGTTCCAAATGATAATGAACTGGTCGAATTCGATAAATTTTTTTATCTCAGTGATCTCATGAGTTATTATTCGTCGGTTTGCATTAATTAACGGCCTTTTAGAATGTGGTGCATCTTTAATATTAAAATTGTCGGAACGAAATTTTGCAAACAAGTTTTGAGCCTGGGATCTTGTCAATCTATTTTTTTAATACATATCGGATAATTTTTTCTTGATTCAACAGAATGTTTAAATTTTTGACAATAAAAAAGGAATTTGCCAAAAGCTAATTTTTGAAAATCAATCGAAAATTTTATAATAATATCACTAAAAATAATATATAATTATATCCATTGCTATAAGAAAACGTTTTAATTTTTGGAACATTTTTTTATACATTGTCATTTTTGAAGTATAACTAAAGATCAAAAAAAATATTTCTTAAGCAAAAAAATATTACTGAACTATTTCTTTCGGTCAGTAGGACATATTAGCTTTGATGGTCAAAAGGATATATTGGCTTTGATGTCGTAGATTCAGATGCGCGTAAACGATTGGGGTAGTTAGAATTATGGAATAAGTCACAGAAGTTCCGTAGGTGGTATAGGAATTCTCCATTTACCTGTAAAACTACACAAAAGCATAGATTACTTTAGTAAGTCTTTTGTTACCAATTAAATATTCACAAATGCATTCTCTTAAACACCTAAATTAAAAAATCATATTGCTTCAC